TGTACATAACAGACTAGCAGTACCATAAGCAGCAGGCTTTTGGACACAGTATTTTGAGTAAAATAGGGTAATACCCCATACCAGCATGAAGCCATTTACACAAAGCCCATAATTTGGTATCATGCCGGTACCAGAGTCATACATAAAGGTCTGTCTTCTCCTTCTGCTCGAAAGAGTCTAATGCTACATCCTTTCACTCATGTAGATTGTCCAGCATTTCATTTGACAAAACTCCTTCTGATCTGAGGACGACGAAGTTTATGAAGCTGCCAAGCAAGATATTGATGGAATCTCGACAACGGGTTCTTATGTATGATGTGTCCATTAGGTCTCAAATTATCAACACGGAGTGTACACAGAGTTATGTACGAGATAGTAGTCCTTCCACACAGCCGTCAGTTAATACCATCAATGATTCTGATGAGAGTTTCCTAGGTAGGAAGGATTCTGACTTTCACAGCCATCATTTGAATTGGGTTTGAGGAAGGTGAACAGGGGTGGTCGGGTCATCTTTATTTACGCCATGCGTACCAGTTGACTAGGATAGAGACAAAAGATGTACAAATATGTCCTAAAAGTGAGTCAATGGCATGCCACATGGTGGGAAGTGTATGTAAACACCGTAGGGAGACAAAAGCAAGCAGAGAAGGCGCCAGTGGCGCATGACATATTTTTACAAGTGTATAAAGTCTAGAAGAGGGCGGGGGAACATACTCTCACGTTCTCCGAGTGGGTACTGCACCGAGTAAAAAGGGTACTGGTCGACACGGGTAGCCCATTTCTTGCATAAAGAAGTTCTCGAACGAGACGATAAAATCTTGTCCCAGGTTCGAACTTCTCTCATAAGCTTTACCGGTTAAACCTTATAAGCTTTGGGTACCATCTTCCAGTTCAGTTTTGGAAGTCTCCGAATGTGGCCATAGCGACCGTCAATGGTGGTGGACGCCGGCCTATCATGCAATATTAGGACGAGGAAGGCTGAATGCAATCGAAGCTGTAGTTTCCACCTCTCACTTGATGATGAAGTTTCCCACGGGTTTAAAAAGGACAGCAACAGGTAGCGAGGGATTGTTACCTAGTTGCGTTAAAGGGAAAAGGGGCCATGTGGTTATCGAATAAACCATCACCCTTATCATAGAGATAGCCACGAAGAGGTCTGACTTTATATCCAAATATATCAGCATATTTAAGTTTCTCTGAATAGTAAACTCCGATAAACCGGGGAAAATAAGCAATCCAGTCTTTTTTATGATCGATATGGAAGGAATGGCTTATTCATTGTTTCAGGACAGTCCACATATGCCTCGAGAAAGCCATACAGTTCCTCTCCCTGTAAATTACCATCCCATTTAGCTGCACCTATCGGCATTGGGGATGATTTCATTATAAACGGATACAGAGAGCGAACGTCATAATAGAAAAAATTCTCACAGCTTATACACATCCGCATGACCTCCATAGTCTCCCCTACGAAGAAACTCATCAGCAGTCCTATGAGGAATTGCTATAGGTGTACTCATCTCATCATAATAATCCTTCCTAAAGATGGTTAGCGCTAGAGAAGACAAGGTCATCATCCTTGTAGTAATATAAAGCTCGTAAAGACTCCAATAGATATTTTGATCAGCATAATACCACCCAATATGTCTTGCTTCTCTACCAATTCCCTCTTCCTAGACGCGAAATTATCCATAACTACAGACGTATGATCTACTTCACCTTTACTGCCGAGCTCTGGGCAGAGACTTTGACCTAAAGAACTTAAAGAATCTGGGAGTAGCTTCAATGAATCACGAAACACCATCCTCCTGAGTAGTCCCTTTGGCGACTAAACGCGCTTTGTACCGCTCAATCGTACCGTCGGACTTGCGTTTGGTTTTGTAAACCCACAACCTACCAATTATATTGTAGTTAGGACTAGGTGGTACCAGTACCCAAGTGCCATTATTTGCAAGAGCTGAAATCTCTGAAGCCATAGCAGAGCGCCACTGTGGATGTTTAACAGCCCCTGAATAACATGTTGGTTTAGTCTCTTGATTGGAAGGAGGCAATGGATGCAGGGTAGATGAGTAGGCAATGAAATCAGGGAATTTCTGAGGTTTCATAGTGCGATCTGTGGTTCGAGTGGTCATAGAGTGTGTCGGTTGTTGAGAGTGTTAAGGACATGGGGAAGGAGGAGGTGGACGAGAGGAATTAAGAGGAGAAGCAGAGACTGAGGAGATGACTGGAAGAGTTGTATGAGAAGATGTTGAAGTGGAGTAAGTAGTGGGTGTAGTTTAAGGCACAGATTGAAAAGGAAATGTAGATTCGTCGCAGAGAACATGCCGACTGATGTAAATGGTATTGTTGGCCAGATTGAGACATTTGCTTCCTTTCTTAGTATCACAATATCCCACTCACTCGCTTTGGTTAGTTATAGTCAATCCATACCGCCTTCCTAAGGTTAGATCAGATGGTTCTGAATAAAGAGGAGGCTCGGGAGAGTAACTCGTGTCGTTCAGTTGGATTCCTGGTCGGCTTTGTCCAAACAAATCACTCCTTACAGAGGCGAGGGGAAAGAAGGCAGAGCGATAGGGATAGGCAGAGCAAGAGCTCTTAAAGTCTACCCGGGCTAGCTTCTTCATTCTTCGATCAGGGGCGGGCTTCTTCCCTTATTATATACGATGACATAGATAGAGCCTCCTTCTTTGATCCATTCATTGATAAAGTCTTCGGGGGCAGTTTACCTTTTGAATCGACAGTAGAGTAGGTTTGCTCTTGCTTTCTCAATCTTTCCCTATGTAGTAGATCCGGCTTTATTCGGCTAAAAAGAGGCCGTCGTATCTGCTCGCCCCCTTCTTCATTCATCCAATTAGGTCAGAATGGATCCAGGGAACCCGGCTCGGGAACTGCCCTGAGAAAAACACAGTAAGAGAGTCCAATCTCTGAAATATAGCATTTTCTCTCCTAAGTACCTAAGTAGTAGTAGAAGGCTTAGTATCTGACTTGATCCAATAGAGTCAGAACACACTGTAGATCCAGATTCCACACCTTGCTGTGGACTGGGGAGAGAGCAGCTCTGCGAAGCTGGGCGTTCTGTGTGATTATGGAGGAACTGTAGTACTCGCCCCAAAATGCAAGCCGGGATAGATGCTTAAAGAAAGGGGGAGCGGTGGGCCTTCAAAAAGGAGCGAGGGAGTGATGGGCAACCGTAGTCTATATGTTGCTCGTGAGCCCCCAAGTACCAGTCTCGCAACAGTACTGGCGTTAAAGGATCGGTCCTTCACTTGCGGGTCGTTCGCGAGTCGAACTCGCTCTCTTGCCACGCCTTTGACTCACGAACTCGAGTCGGACTCATTCACTGCTGACTGAGGATCGTTCGTTCTTCACTCTCTTGCTATTACCCGCAGGGAGCGCAGCAACCGACGGTGCATATTATCATATAGAAAGAAAAAGAAGCGAAGCGTAGCGATTCGTACTACCGGAAAAGTGTCGCTAACCGCTAGGCAATAGAGTCAGCTTACGGGGTGGAGCGCAAGCAAGCGTAGCGAATCACATAGAATTGCCCCTACCTGCCAGCGCGCAGATAGATAGGGCGGGCGAGCGCAGGGATGGATGTCTGAGCGGTTGAAAGAGTCGGTCTTGAAAACCGAAGTATTGATAGGAATACCGGGGGTTCGAATCCCTCTCCATCCGCGAGGTCATAAGTTCTCTCTTGCCTTATCTATAGATAAGAACGAATCTCCTCGACTCGACTGATATGATGGATGGTAGAAGGTTGAGGTTATTGTGTGTTGATTTAGTTAGGACTTTGTCTCCCTTTCGTTATCTTCCGCCCCGGGACCTGTGGGAGCTAAGTCGAAGATCTCGGTGTCGTCGTGAGTGGTTGATAAACAGCGATTGCAGTTTGATTTAGGGAGTCCCAACCCTGTGAAGCTTAACAGACAAAGAAAACGATAGAGACTTCCGGGTATTGGGTGACGACCTTAATGAATCAAGTATTCAGGTGGCAGAGTTATTAGCTACATAAGCGCTCAAATTCCTGAATACTTATTGCCCTGGCTTCTATGATCAACCCCTGGCACATTTAGGTTTTGATCTGAGGCTATCCTGGTCTGCGGGACCCAACACAAGTATTCATCCTTTCCAATCTGAAAAAGGTGTTGCCGAAAGCTTACCCTCTTCCACACGGATGCTACAGCCGCTATCACTTTTGCTGGGGGGGAATTACAGAGTTCGCCTCTCGACATCTTGTTTGGTAAACGGAATTTGGACCCAGGCGCCCTAGTGTTGCCTAACCGTTCGGCCGGGGATGTCGGATGCGAGATCTTTAGCTACTTGTATCAATTTGCCGCAGTGTGCTTAGATACAATGCGCTGGCAGCTGAGGCTTGGCAGGATGGGAGTTAATTAGGGTCGAGGGAGCAGGAAAGAGTTTGTTATTCGCTATTGGCTTAGTACGGCCTATACATAATAGGGCCATGACGGTTTTGGCAAGGCCTTGAACTTCATATATCCCTTTTTTACTCAATCCAGAATACCGATAAAGTCAGATTGAATCATTTTTTCGAGCAAGAAAACGGATGCGCGTGCTAACGCTTTCGCGCTAGTGCGCTCAATCCGTTGCTTGTTTGGGGACAGAAAAAGTTCCGTAATCGTCCTATTTTTTCGTTGCATTTCCTTGTTTTTAACGGAAGTGAGAAATGCGTAATTAATATATAGATGTGATGATTCCATGAATCTCTGAAAAGGTAGGGGTCAAGGACCTTATGGGACTGCAATCGTGCCTGCCAATTGGGGAAGGACGCGGGCCTGGCAACCGCTCGGCTCTAGTAAGGGAAACAGGTATGTCTCACATCATTGCTCGAAGACTGGAAAAACTGCAAGTTAGCTCAGTTGGTTTAAAACGGCATATGTGAGTGACGCGAACTAGCATTTTGAATTGAGAAAGCCAGTGGCCGGGGTGGTCTATGTTGTTATGGTATCTCTCTTTAAAATCGAGATTGTGTGGGTGTTCAGTCTACCGCTCATGTTCGACGCTATTATGGACCGAGAAGAGGAATCAACGAAAAACCCAGGAAAGAGCTGCGAAAGAAAAGCGTGACGAGCAAAGTCAAGTCTCCACGACTCGACATGTTAGAAGGAGCTAAATCAATAGGTGCCGGAGCTGCTACAATTGCTTTAGCGGGAGCTGCTGTCGGTATTGGAAACGTCCTCAGTTCTTCGATTCATTCCGTGGCGCGAAATCCTTCATTGGCTAAACAATTATTTGGTTATGCCATTTTGGGCTTTGCTCTCACCGAAGCTATTGCATTGTTTGCCCCAATGATGGCCTTTCTGATTTCATTCGTTTTCCGATCACATATTTCTTGGTGTAGATATCTCTCTTTGCAAATAGAGATACCGAGGCCCCCCAACCTACTAGTTGTTGGTGGGGGAAAGAAGAGTGGGAACGTGGGCTTCTTTCACAGTGCGTACCTCTCTTTCTCTTCTTTCTCGCTCTGTTCTGGAAACTAACTACTTCTCCAGAAGCAACGTCAACAACTTATGCAAGACTCCTTTCGTAACTACTTTTCGGTAGAAATACGGACTTCTTCCTATCAAACTGCTTTTGCCCAGCAATAATAGGCAAGACTTGATTCAGGTCAATACAATACTCTTCTTCGAACTTGTAAGCTTGGGACACAAGCGTAAACTTTTTCAAAAGTAAGACCAGGTACACTGCTAAACATAAGTATAAAGAGGTGGAAGGCCGGCTGTGCTTGTGCTCACCTACAGGTCTGTCCTAGCATACAGTATAGAAAAAGACTGTCTCTTATTTGTGATTTGTCTGAATCAGCGTATATTAACTAATACTACTTTATCCAGTCAATAATTAATTGAAAGGTCGTCTTTAATTAAAAAGTGCATAAGCAAGCAAGGAACGGAAGGCATGCTAACTACACTACTAGAGTCAATACACTACAAACCAAACTACTTGAGTAAGAATCTATTCTTTTTGCTTATTCGTAAGCGCATGAAGAAACTTATTTCACTCTAGCAATGAGCATAAATAGTTGACAACATAGTTGTATTAATTCTTATTTTCCTCTTCCTACTACATACACGGCTATAATCGTTATATATTCTCTTCTTTTCTTTAGACTCTTCTTTCTGCATCTCTTTTCTTTCCATTGTGAGTAAAAGGGGACAGCAGTGGGTCAAGTATGTTGATTGGTATCATACTGTGGCAGTAGATCCTGGTGTCTTTCTCTCAGCTTTCAGAAGCACCTTTCGTGCTCTCGTAGCTGTAAGGAAGGCAAGGAGAAGATCCGCATATTGTCTTTATGGGTCCTCTTTATGATGAGGTTGCTAATAAGGGTGGGTAAAGTAGTCCCAATGCTTTTTCCCTCGGTAAGGAAGACTTATGGCATCTAAGGTAGGCAATTTCTTGTGTTCGCGTTTAGCTCCTTGAACAACTTTGTATCATTCGATACCACTAAGCAGCGGTTAATCGGACATTCCAGAGAGTTCCTTCGGGAAAGAAGAAGCCTAGCCTAACATTGAAATAAAAGTGCCGTAGAGAGAGATCATTTAGTGATTTGATCGTCTAAGATGAAATCACATAGTATACGGCCTATAATCTTGCTTCTTTTGCATTCAACAAGAAAGAGAATTGGTAGTCCACCATCATAGTACCTAAGTTTGATTGAATAGCTCTATTTGTAGTCTTCTTGTTTTTGAGAAAGTGCTCTAGACATCGGTTCATCCCGAGCACCACATAGTTTCCAGATGCAAGCTGGCGGGGAAGAGTTTATGGTTCTGAGAGGACATTCTTTTGTTATTGAATTTAGGATTGGGAAATTGATGTATGTCAGTGAAGAATGCAAGTTGACCAATAGCAGCTATGAAGAACAGCACCTGTGCAGTATGTCATTTATAACGGATTGACCTTGAATAAGCCATTGAAATGCTATCAAAAGATAGCTCTGTTGATAAGTTATTTGAGTTCTAGATGTCTACAACTTACCACACTCGTTTTCCCTTTGTCGGACAACCGGCACTAGCTTGATAAACGACAATAACTCGTATAGCCGTGCTTGTAACTAAGCTGTGAATGGAACTTTCCAAAAATAGAGATTTTTCTGAAATGCAGACTATTCACATCGCCCTTATGTGCTCAGAAAACACTTTATTCTCAATCGACGGGACGGATAGAGTAAAGAACGATATAGTGTGTGACTATCTATACTCAAAACGCAAGAGCCTGTACAGCAAATCGTTCAGAAGGCAGCTTTTTTCGAACTTACAGGGGCGCTGCGACAGCTAAATAAAGCGAGCACTCGGCAACTTCAATCTCACCTCTACCCCGCACTGAGGTCAAAACCATCTCTCGATCGGGGCTATACTACTGAGTCGACCAATTCCTCTCCGCCCTTCTCTGTCTTTACCCGCCGGGAGAAGAGTTTGAGGAGCATTGTCACCGAACTTCACTATACTATTTGGTTTGGCATGACATCTTCTTCTAACTGAGTTCAAAAGAGTATTGAAAAGAATGAATCCGGGTTTTAGCGCTCCTTGAATCTGGCCTATACGTAGTGTAAGCCGCCTGCGGCTGCTAAAGGCAAGGTATGAGGGTGAAAGTAAGCGAAGCCCATCTTGATATAGTCAATTGAGTGAGCCTATCTTATTTAGTTCTGTTTATGCGTCTAGTGAGCATTGAACTCCTTTGACAAGCGCAATGCTTCTTTATCGATCAGTTAGACGCTTTATACCTGGTTAAAGCTGAAGTGACGATACCAGTGCCTGCCGAACTTCCAAGCCCTCAAATATCGAGGATATGGTGTGCCCCGTTACCTTATTTCAAGGTGTAATAAAGGCTCTCCCCCGACTAGAAGGATCCAGGGACAACGGCTATTTCCTCCAAAAATATTGGCAGTAGCCGAAACGACTGGAAACCCAGGTAGCGGTCCGGAAAGGGCAAAAGGGCAAGGTGAGTAGTGAAAGCAAGAACGTTCTTTCGCATATAGAGCGACAGCCCAGATTCAGGGTTACTTGTCCACACCAACTGATCAGGTATCGGAAAATAGGGCATATTTGTTTCAGCCGGGAGACCCCCTGGGGGTCTAGTTTTAAGGCGAGTAGGCCTATTGAGATGCACATAACTACCTTTTTTCATCTTATCACCCCGCCTAGCGACTTTGCAAGCATTACAGGCTAGGCACCTAACAACGGTTATTCCTCCAACAGGTTATTCTGGGTTACGCTAAACCTTCAAGCCTTCTACCAGCAGATGAATACTTAATCTATCCCCTCTGCGCACGGAAAGGGAAAGCTACTCTTCACTTCAAGAGTATATGCCGAAAATCCTATGTTTGGAGTGACCATGAACACACTGCTTGAGACCCTTCTTTCGTGAGACAGTTGTGATTCCGCTTTCATGTTTTGGATTGAGCTTTGTCACTCTTTCTATGCCTCTTTCTTTTTCTTGGAGGACCTTCCCACAACACACACGCGGCGCTAAGGTTCCCGTGGCAACTGAACTAGGATTCGAAGCCAGGATGAGCGGATCTACCGCTCCAGGTCCTTTCCTATTCTTATACTAATATATGTAAGTTCCTTGCGTTTAGAACTAGAACGTGAGGCATAGTAATGGCGCATGTGTGATATTCTATTGATCCTGTTTAGGCTGCTTTAGGAAAGCAGTCAAGCAGGAATGGAAAAAATGTCTTCTGCTGCTATCTTATCTGCTAAAATGGACAAAATCTTCTCTTCTTCTCTATGTCACTAATCACAGTCGGAGAGACCCATGAGACTTTCTTTTCTCCCGGCAGGCTCTAGCGCTACGGCAATGCTTATGGCTGCAATCCAAACAGCAATGGTCCTCGCGGATTTAGTGCACCCAATCCATTAGGGGTTCCTGATAGTGAGATTCCTCTAGTCAAGTCTAAGGATTGAGTATGAGGGATTTCATCCAGTCCATTGCGGAATGTATGGTCACAGAATAGACTCATCCCCCGGCTTATAGTATGCAGCTTGGAAGGCCTTGGATTCACACGTCTGGTGCTGCCCCGTCTTCTCCGCATCAAAGAGTAAAGTATGCTGTTGAGGTGGTAAAAAATCGACTTTGTTTGTCACTAAACCTGCAGCATTCCCGTATATTGAAGCCGCTGAAGAAGCTATTGAGACTTCCTTCCAGTCACTCGAAATTTGGAATGCTAATTCTGTTTCTGAGGGCGGAGCTATGCCCAAAGATGTCTGAAGCTTCGAAGATGGTAGCAAGATTTATGCTGAACAGCCCATATCAGAAAGGCAAGGGATTGGGCAAGAACTAGCAAGGAATATTCGCCCCAGTGGAACTCCCTTCTGCTGATGAGAGATTTTGGATAAGAGTTCATAAAAGGCGCTAGCCAGTTTCAAGGTCAGGAAGGGAAAGGAAAGAGCTGGGTTTCTAACAAACACAGAAACGTTTCCTTTTTCGTTTTTCGCTTTGATTTCGATAGTAAATTGTTTGTATTCATCGCATTGATTTGAAAAGTTTGAACTTTGATTTCAGGATGGTTACGGGAAATTTCACTCTCTTGGCTAATTGTACCGTCCTTTCCTCTAGGTATTGAGATCCTTCGACAAGTTGTTCTTCCCCCGAAGAATCGTCACCAAAGACATTCTTCCATGGTTTTTTTACATGGGGGGGGGCTCGGTTTTGTAAAAGATTATGGGTTTGTGTCGAATTATTTTATTCTTCTTACCCAGTCCTTCGGTGGAATGATGAACATACAAAGCTCATGAATAGGATTGACTTCCCTAGGGCAAATTGCTTTTTAATGTTTTTCGGGAATTCTTTCAATCATTAGGTTTTATACCTGTCGGTATCGGATTCATAATCTTCGCGTGGTTCAAACTGCTCTTCTTCAAAGGGATAGTTCAAGGGCTTGTTCATTATTTCGTCGTCTGATGAAGAACCTTCAGTGCTTGAAGTCTCCTCATCCGTTTATAATCCAAAGACTGGAATGGGTTTAATCATAGCCACCTGTTTTTGGGGTGTGTTAGCAGCTAGGTTTTTTCGGAGGAGGAACCCTGGTATAATCAGGAGTATTGGGTTTCTTGGCGTTGGATGAAGTTTCAGCCACCTGTGAGGAAGAGGGTTCAGCTTTTCCACTCCAACCATTTTTCAAGGTTGTCATTTCTTCCTTTGAAAAGAAGTATTGGGCGTCTTTATGGCTTATCTCGTGTATTCCAAAGGGTCTCAGACCCCTAGCTATTCTTCTTTGTTTACCATTCTTTACATATTTGAAGCACGGGAGAAGGAAAAAGACTTTCCACTGTCCTAAACTAAGGACGGGAAGGAAGAAGGCGAGCATATCCTCTAAATTGATTATCCTCAAATCAGCTCTTCCTGGGGTGGGGTATTGTCTGTCCCGATAAATAGATAATTCCAGGAGTAATAAATAGGAGTAAAGTATTGATATAATTGGAATTGCAGAAGCAAATACCAATTTACTAAAAAAAGAAAAAAGTATCTAATCTAAAGGGCTCATTTTCTTTTTTAGGATTTAACAAAAGGGTTTGCAAATAAAAGCGCTAGTGCCACAACTAGTCCATAAATTGTTAAAGCTTCCATAAAAGCTAGACTAAGCAATAAAGTACCT